GGTCCATGCTTCACAAGACCTATTACAATCTGACACATTTCCTCACACTCCCCTTGCTGTCCCCTCTTTTATTGCTCTCTGCTTCCCCTTCTAACCTTCGCTCCCCTCCAACGACTGATGTATCTGCCTCACATGTGCTGATCACTGCCTCACTCTGTATACAGAAACCAGGAAGCAACAGGAAGGGTAACAACGATTAGAGATTTGACGTATATTTGTAGAAGCTGAAAAGGTATTGGCAGTTTGGAAGGGAGAAACAATCATTCTATATATAATATCATATATAATATTATATAATATATATATATATATTATATATATTATACTAATATTATTATAATGTAATGACTACTCAACTCCTCCTTACTGAGGGTCTCTGTATCCCAGAGTTCGTGGAGGGCGAGGAGGAGTTTGTGTAGAATCCTGTGGTCTAAGGTTCTGCTGGCGTGAGTCCTGGAAGCAGCCATCCAGCGACACATTGCTTGCTGTAGCTGCGTCAGGTCCCCCTGGATGGCGTGCTGGTGCAGGATGCTCTCTGCTGCAGGGCTCAGCTCCCCGTCCCACGACACTGTGTCATCCTGTAGAAGACGCCGCAGGAGGCAGTGAGTGTGGCACATACCAGGTTGATGCCAGAATGGCGTGAAGGAGTAGGAAGGTAAGATGATGGAGGAAGATAAAAGTGACGTAGGAGGGAGATGGAGTAATGAAGGAAGGAATCATGATAAGAAGAAACAGAGCGAGATGCACATACATAGATGCAAAAAGAAAAAAATCTTGCGCAAACAAGGAAATCTAAATGACAAGAAAATTTTGCCAGAAGTTTGAGATAAATTTAGCAAATGGTGTGATTGCAATACAATAAATAGGAGATCTCATTAAGATTAAAGACTGTGATAAAATATCAATTATATTGACCTGAGACAAAGATTTGTGGGCAGAAAGGAAGTTCCTCTACTCGAGAAGCACTTTGATCTCGTAGATGTTCAGAAATTTGTAGAGAATTACTGACATCAGTACAATACCTCAAAGAAACGGGTGTGAGAAGGTGATGATGCATGAAGAGGCAGTGGAAGAAAACTCCACTGTTTTTAGTGTATATATTACGGTGGAACACGATAGACTACGCTTGTCGAGTTGTCAGTAGTGTTACTGTGTACCTGTGTAGTATACTTAGATAATTCCAGCCCCTTTATAGATAGACTCCTTGGCTATCTATGACGTCACAAGTCACGCACATGTGTGACACCAGCCTCAGGCCTTTGTCTCAGTTCCCGTTAGACCTAGATTGGACGAAGGCAAGGCTCCATGGGTCTCCCCTCAACTCACATTAATTACACGCCTCGAGACATCCAACGTGTGTATTTCTTACTCCAATATGTCACCACAACCCCCCACGACAGAGTGGACGGATCCAATGTGATGCTTGTGATAAGAGTGAAGACAACACACAGGTTCTGTGTGCTGTGTGACCTGGTCTTGTCTTCACCAGTCACTTGAATGATACAGATACAGCTTTAGTCATATAGAACCTTTAATGACAATGTTTCTCCCATCCAGTGCGATATATCAGGCCACAGATGATCAAGTCTACTGTGTTGGTGAAAAGTCCTCAGCAAGATTTCAGTAACACGAATTCGTGATTCCTTACCATCGGGTTGATACCTGATTCCATTACCCACCCAGTTGACCGAATGTTAAGGGGGATCAGGAGCTGCAGTTCGACCCCTACAGGTGTGACTGCTGCTCTACATACAAACACACACTCAACACACACCGGCACCTCGCTTCAATTAATTTTTAAAAACGCCAAACTCATTTCGCACCAATCCGTGGAACACATTTTTGCACATGGTGACTGACAGATAAATACCAGGGCTAAAAGACAGCCATTGGTGAACAGATTTACCAGATTAAACAAAGCACAAAAAACGACAAGTTTTTTACCCGGACGACATTCAGAACAAGATCAGTTTGGCAGAATTAAAAAAAAAAAAAACGCGCTGGAAAAAATAAAACTCTAAAATCTTTACGACCATTGGTTGCAATACTTTTTTTTCGACTGTGGCTGAAAAATAAAGAATATTGGGTTGTGTTAGAGGTAATTACCGCATCAATTTTAATGGCAAACTGGGTTTAAAATTCTGGTTTAAAAAGAGGACTGCTGATGCCTGGTTAGCCTAGCCCTTCCTAGCCTTCACAACCACCTAGCCCTTCCTAGCCTTCACAACCACCTAGCCCTTCCTAGCCTTCACAACTACCTAGCCCTTCCTAGCCTTCACAACTACCTAGCCCTTCCTAGCCTTCACAACTACCTAGCCCTTCATAGCCTTCACAACTACCTAGCCCTTCCTAGCCTTCACAACCACATAGCCCTTCCTAGCCTTCACAACCACCTAGCCCTTCCTAGCCTTCACAACCACCTAGCCCTTCCTAGCCTTCACAACTACCTAGCCCTTCCTAGCCTTCACAACTACCTAGCCCTTCCTAGCCTTCACAACCACCTAGCCCTTCCTAGCCTTCACAACTACCTAGCTCTTCCTAGCCTTCACAACCAACTAGCCCTTCCTAGCCTTCACAACCACCTAGCCCTTCCTAGCCTTCAAACCACCTAGCCCTTCAGCTTCACAACTACTAGCCTTCCTAGCCTTCACAACCACCTAGCCCTTCCTAGCCTTCACAAACCACCTAGCCTTCTAGCCTTCACAACCACCTAGCCCTTCTAGCCTTCACAATACATAGCCCTTCCTAGCCTTCACAACCATCTAGCCCTTCTAGCCTTCACAAACACCTAGCCTTCTAGCCTTCACAACTACCTAGCTCTTCCTAGCCTTCACAACCAACTAGCCCTTCCTAGCCTTCACAACCACCTAGCCCTTCCTAGCCTTCACAACCACCTAGCCCTTCCTAGCCTTCACAACTACCTAGCCCTTCCTAGCCTTCACAACCACCTAGCCCTTCTAGCCTTCACAACCACCTAGACCTTTTCCTAGCCTTCACAACCACCTTAGCCCTTCCTAGCCTTCACAATACATAGCCCTTCCTAGCCTTCACAACCATCTAGCCTTCCTACCCTTCACAACCAACTAGCCCTTCCTAGCCTTCACAACCACCTAGCCCTTCCTAGCCTTCACAACCACCTAGCCCTTCCTAGCCTTCACAACTACCTAGCCCTTCCTAGCCTTCACAACCACCTAGCCCTTCCTAGCCTTCACAACCACCTAGCCCTTCCTAGCCTTCACAACCACCTAGCCCTTCCTAGCCTTCACAATACATAGCCTTCCTAGCCTTCACAACCATCTAGCCCTTCTAGCCTTACACAACCAACTAGCCTTCCTAGCCTTCACAACACCTAGCCCTTCTCAGCCTTCACAACCACCTAGCCCTTCCTAGCCTCACAAACCACTAGCCCTTCTAGCTTTCACAGCCACCTAGCATTTCCTAGCCTTCACAGCCACCTAGCATTTCCTAGCCTTCACAGCCACCTAGCATTTCCTAACCTTCACAGCCACCTAGCATTTCCTAACCTTCACAACCACCTAGCCCTTCCTAGCCTTCACAACTACCTAGCCCTTACTAGCCTTCACAACCACCTAGCCCTTCCTAGCCTTCACAAACTACTAGCCTTCCTAGCCTTCACAACCACCTAGCCCTTCCTAGCCTTCACAACCACCTAGCCCTTCCTAGCCTTCACAACCACCTAGCCCTTCCTAGCCTTCACAACCACCTAGCCCTTCCTAGCCTTCAAAAACCACCTAGCTCTTCCTAGCCTTCACAACCACCTAGCCCTTCCTAGCCTTCACAACCACCTAGCCCTTCCTAGCCTTCACAGCCACCTAGCCCTTCCTAGCCTTCACAACCACCTAGCCTTCCTAACTTCACAGCCACCTGCATTTCCTAACCTTCACAGCCACCTAGCATTTCCTAACCTTCACAACCACCTAGCATTTCCTAGCATTCACAACCACCTAGCATTCCCTAGGCTTCACAACCACCTAGCCTTTGCTAGCCTTCACAACCACCTAGCCTTTGCTAGCCTTCACAACCACCTAGCGTTTGCTAGCCTTCACAACCACCTAGCCTTTGCTAGCCTTCACAACCACACCAGGAGATGTCGTATATATACCCAGATTACACACACCAAAGGTATACACATGTATATACAAAGAGAATTTACGTTATTGACTATTATCGGGATTGTAACATTGTCCAGTGACGTAGCACAAGAGAAACTTAGTGTAAACACGAGGACATTGATGTACAGTGTACTGTAAACAAGAGGACATTGATGTACAGTGTACTGTAAACAAGAGAACATTGATGTACAGTGTACTGTAAACAAGAGAACATTGATGTACAGTGTACTGTAAACAAGAGAACATTGATGTACAGTGTACTGTAAACAAGAGAACATTGATGTACAGTGTACTGTAAACAAGAGAACATTGATGTACAGTGTACTATAAACAAGAGGACATTGATGTACAGTGTACTGTAAACAAGAGAACATTGATGTACAGTGTACTGTAAACAAGAGAACATTGATGTACAGTGTACTGTAAACAAGAGAACATTGATGTACAGTGTACTGTAAACAAGAGAACATTGATGTACAGTGTACTGTAAACAAGAGAACATTTATGTACAGTGTACTGTAAACAAGAGAACATTGATGTACAGTGTACTGAAAAACAAGAGAACATTGATGTACAGTGTACTGTAAACAAGAGAACATTGATGTACAGTGTACTGTAAACAAGAGAACATTGATGTACAGTGTACTGTAAACAAGAGAACATTGATGTACAGTGTACTGTAACAAGAGAACATTGATGTACAGTGTACCGTAAACAAGAGAACATTGATGTACAGTGTACTGTAAACAAGAGAACATTTATGTACAGTGTACTGTAAACAAGAGAACATTGATGTACAGTGTACTGTAAACAAGAGAACATTGATGTACAGTGTACTGTAAACAAGAGAACAGTGATGTACAGTGT